ATGAGCAACGACGACCCCGCCACTACGTTCGGAGTCGCCTCGTACGCACCGTCGCCCGAAGCCGCGGCCACCAACGCAGCCATGGGCGAGCAAATGCTGTTGCACGCAATCCACCAGGCGCGAAGGGGCGCTCCTCCTGCCATGCCGCCAATGCACATGCACATGCCCGCGCCAACACCGCCTGCACCGCCAATGCCGATGGCTGCTGCCATGATGCTCAACAACATGCCGCCCATGATGCCAGGCGTGCCTCCATTCATGTCGCCGGGGATGATGGCTGGCTACCCCTACTACGCAGCCCACAGCCCGTCGGCTTCGGCGACCGCGATGAGCCCGCCCGTCTTTTCGGGCGGTTTCGCAGGTGCCGCCGCTGCCAGTCGACGCGGAAGTGGTGCAATGGGACACTACGAATCGTCTGCACCGACGTCCGGCCCCTCCACCCCGGCGCCAATCCCCGCCAACAAAACCCCGTTTGGCTATCCGCTCGCGCTGCTCAGCTCTGTCGCAGAACACCACGCCGGATCGCCGTCGTACATGCCGCCAGATTCGATGGGCCTGGCCGCAGCCAGCCCGTCGCTCGAGTCCGTCTACAATGCAATGACACCAAACACGCTCGCCTCCTTCAACGACGCCACAAGTGATACCAAAGATTTTCGCCGGAACGACAACATGTCGCGCCAGAGTTTGTCTCAGTCCACAAGCGTGCCGGCGCCGCCGCAGCCACGAGCAGCGCACCCAGCAACAGCGGCGCCGCCCACTAGTAGCAGCAATCGCGGTGGTCGAAAATCCACCGCTGCAGCAGCCGCAGCAGCAGGTTCGGCTGCGGCTCCTCGCGGCGGCTTTGGAGCAACAAACCGATTGGGTGCCGCCGCTGCACGTGCTGCCGCAGATTCGCAAGACGACCCGTCGCCACCACCAGAAGTTTCTACCGACGACAGTCGGCGGCGTGAGCGCAATCGACGGGCGGAGAAGCACCGCCGCGAGACGCACCAAAAGCTCATGATTGACGACGACGTTGTTGCACAGCTTCGTGGTCTTCGAACTTTTCTATGTCGCACGAACAGCGAGACCCTGCAGACTGTTCTCGAGTTTTTCATGTAAGACGGTTTTGGGGTCACAGCTTGCGTTGCCATAGGAATGCGTGGGTATCTAACCCCTGTAACTTTGCTCCCCATTGTGTCATGCTTGGTCGTGGTAGGCAATTCGGACCTTATTCATTTGACGAGGAGTTGTGAGTTTCACTTGTGGACATTTTCCCTGTACTGTTTGCGATCATCACGAACCAAACGCATGCTAACTTCACTGACTGTTGCTTTCTCGAGCAGCATCAACTTTTTTGCACGAGCAGATTTGACTGCCGTCACGGAAATGGCCGCCGAGTTTGCCACAGATGGCGCCATTGACGATTTGCATCTCGACGAGTAAGTCTGCAAACTGTGGGAGAGGTGACACTTGAGGCACGCAACCGAAAACAAAAAAAAAAAAAAACGAAAAAAACCCCCGACCCACCTACCCGTCGCGGTCTCACTTCCTTGCATTTTGTGCCTTCCACCAGTCCATTGGCGAGCATCTTGATCGAAGCAAACAAGTACGAGTTTGTCACACTTCCAGCATCGCTGGAAAAGACACGACCGTTGTGGAAGGCGGGCGACTTTCAAGGCATTTTGCGAACCACAGATTCGGCCCTGTCCCACGCGTTGCGCCACCAAACAAACCTCACTCTGGATGAGCGCATCATTACTTGCGACTTGATGCTGGTGCGCGCAGAGGCGTGGTGGAAGTCAGGCCACATTGAGCAAGCGATGAGCGATTGCCGAGCTGCGCTTGTGCATGTTGCCAATCTCTTGTCCACCGTGACCCTTCCTGGCGAGGCGCCGACGCCGTCCACAGTCCCTGGACTGCACGACTTTTCCTTTGATGACGACGACTTCTTGCGCCCTTCCGAGCAGCTTCAGCCGCCAGAGCCCACTCCTGTCGCATCGCAGCCATTCCACAAGGCCACCGAGCGCCAGACCGGCTATGTCGGCCCTGCCTCGTCCATTGGCATTACCCAGAGCGCGCCGCTCGACGCACCCATGCTCTCGTTGCAAGAAATGCCGTCGCTGCCGAAAACCCGATTTGGCGCCTCCTTCCTCGAGATTCCCGGGTATGCTGCTGTTGTGATGGCCTCCCGCGAGCAGCTCCAGGCCATTCAAACGCTCGAGGTCCGCTGCGTGCACCGCATTGGCTGGCTGTACCGCATGATGCACATGCTCGTTGAGGCGCGGCACTGGCTGAGCAAGGCGCTCGAGCTGTGGACGGCAATGCGCCACTGGCGCGGTGTCACCATCACGCTTGGTGCACTTGCCGACGTGGCGAGCAAGGCTGCCAAGCGTGCCATGAACGTGGACGAGCTCGCCAAGGCCGAGCGACTTGGCCGTGCAGCGCTCAAGCTGTCCATCCGCGAGTTTGGCCCCAAGCACTTTGAAACTGGCAAGCTCCTCAAAAACATTGGTCTGCAGCTGTACCGAACCGCCACCGTCCTCCAATCGCAAAAGAAGCAGGACAAGGCACACGCTGCGCTCTTCCTCTCCACGCAGCACCTCTTCTGCGGGTTTTTGATTTACTCGCGCTGCCTCGGCATGATGCACGCCGACACCACCAAAAACTTTGACAAGCTTCGCCGCTCGGTTCTTGCGCTGCAGCAACACGACCAGAGCACTGGTGGCTCGCAGTCGCTTGTCATCCCGGACATTAACGACGACGAAGTCCTGGACGAGATGCAAGCGTTTTTGTCAACCTCCCGCCGGTAGAACAAGCCGTGTCCGCTTTCGAGGCCATTGAATGTTGTGCGAGTGCATCCACAAGAGCAAGGTCATCGATCGCATTTCGGATTGCCAAAACAAAAACAAAAAAACAACAACAAAAACCAACAAACACACAAAACCAACAAAAAAACCAACAAAAAAACTATCAGACCTGGCCATACAGTACTGCTGGCTCCAACACCCAGTGTGGTGCAGGAGCATCACGAGTATGATGATGCTTGGGACTTTTGTTTGAACTTTTAGTGAATGGTGCAATTTTCCGCAACTGTATCAACATGAACAGAACTTGAGATTTGAACGTCTGTCTTTTTGCGCTCCAACAGTTGATGCAGCGTTTGCCCCAAATTGGTCTCCATCAATTGCCATTTCATTGCAGTCCAGCAGTCTTTATATTCTTCTGCCAAATGCACCAACCAACAGCAGTGGTCGCACCAGCAAGCACCATCTACTCGACCATCAGCCAAGCCGAGTGCCGCCAGCGCTGGTCCCGGCTGACGCTCTGCGAAGAGACCAACCAAGTAAAAGAAAACAAAGCCTCAGAAGCTAAAAGATGTGCTTTGCTTCATGTCGTTGTTTCGGATGGCTGCGCAGTGTGTTGTTGTGCACGAGTGGCTGGCACGATGACCGAGAGTTTTACAATGGATTCGATGCCTCATCGCCCCTCACCACCCTCCCCCCTCTGTTGGTTTGCTGCTTGCTTTTCCTGCACAATCAAACAAATCACACAAACAAAAACAGGTCAAAGAGCTCCACACCATCATCCGGGATCGCAGGACGGCTGGCAATGACTTTATCTTTTACGCAGACCGCCTCATCCGCCTCGTGGTGGAGGAGAGCCTCAACCAGCTGGAGTGCTCCGAGACGAACATCACCACGCCAACAGGCTCAGTCTACGCAGGCGTGTCCTTCACCAAGAAGCTCTGCGGCGTCAGCGTCATGCGCGGCGGCGAGGCGATGGAAAAGGGCCTCCGCGACTGCTGCCGTTCCGTCAGGATTGGCAAAATCCTCATTCAGCGAACCGAGTCCTCCTCCGAGCCCGTATTGTCGTATGCCAAGTTTCCACCAGACATTGCCGAGCGCCAGGTCATGGTTTTCGATCCCCAGCTGGGTGAGTGATTGGTTGCGGCAACCTCTCAGCAAATTTGTTTGTGTTTATGAGAGATTGTTCGGGCTCGTTTGTGTTCTTCAGCTACTGTTGACAACTCACGCAACTTTTTTCTTTCATTCACACAGGCACTGGCAAAACAGCTTGCAAGGTGATTGAGGTGTTGCTCGAGCACGGCGTACCGCAGCCCCGAATTCTGCTGGTCACGCTGATTGCCAGCCAGCAAAGCCTCGATCTCGTTTTCAAGCAGTTTCCAGAGCTCCGCATCGTAGCATCGCAAATTGATTCGGACTTGGACGACAACCATGGCATTGTTCCGGGGTGTGGTGACTTTGGGGATCGGTACTTCCGCACTGACGATGATCAGTGATGATTGTTTTTTGGGGAAAAAAGTGTTTTGTACGGGTAAACTCAAAAGGCTGTCTTCCACAATTGACGCCAATATCGAAGAATGCAGTAATTCTATTCTTGTGTAGAGTAACAATGCAATGAGGCAGAAAAACTAATAACAAAAAAAAAAACCGAAAAAAAACAACCGAGCAGCTACTCACGCTGCAAGCGAAATAGCAAGCTAAAGAGCTCGACAAAGAGTCAATTATCAAGCGCAAAAGGTGTTGTTTGTGCTGAGGGGAGAGGAGGGGTTGCTTCCCATGAAAATCAATCAAGAGTCAGACACTCGAGTGCGAGAGCAGGGCGCATGGAAAGCTTTCACTGAGCTCATCATCATGCGACCGTTTCCACAAGCGTGCGTCCGCAGAAGGGAAGCAAGCACGTTGGTGTGGTGTTGTCTTGCAGGCTGAGCCGGCGAGACCAGAGACACGAGCATTTCGGGCACCGCATCGGGAGCTGAGAAGCCCAAGTGTTTGATGTCGAGAGTTTGCGCGCAGGTGTGACGGGAAGGAGCACCTCGGACGACGAGCTTGTTCCGTCCGACACAACCGGGCGAGGATGGAGTCGGATTCGCAGCATGGGCAGTGTCGACTTGGTGTCGGTGAAGGGCACAATCTCGGCAACGGTGGCAAACCCTTGCCACTCAAAGAAGGAGGCGTGCAACGACCGCGCATCTGGAGCAATGTTCGAAACATGCGCCAACGTCTCAATGCCAGTGTGCGCAATAAAGCCAGGGTGGATCTGGCGCGAAACGGCGCGCATCAGCAGATTCGGCCACGAATGGGCCTGCGGCTGCACAGGGCTGATTTCGTTCATGATGGAGTCTGCCTGGATGACAAAGGACGCTGGCGCCCGGCTGTTGGCGCTGCCGTCACCGGTAGAGCCGAGCGGCGTCGAGCGGCGAACAAGCTTGATGGGCTTGTTGCTTTCGTGTGCCGCTCGAATCAGGGCAGTCCAGGCGCTGTTGGCGGGTTCAACAATCCACGTTTCTCCAGTGGCGTCGTCACCTTCGCCGGCGTCGGCATCCAGAGCCATCAGAATGATTGCATCAATGGAGTCGCCTTCGTCCGAAATCTGCCATCGGTTTTGCTCGTTGGCATTGCGTGGCAGAATCAGGGCATCGCACAGCTCGTCCTTTCGAAACCCGCGCACGGGAACGCTGAGTCGTACGCCGGCTGTTTGTTGTGGTTGTTGTTGTTGCTGTTGTTGCTGCTGCTGTTGCATTTGCGAATGTTGTATTTGCTGGTTTTGCAATAATTGTGGCTGTGCTGCCTGCGGTTGGAAAGGGGACTGCACCACAACAGGCTGGGCCTGTTGTTGGAGCTGCGGCAGCGGCATGGTTTGAGCGTAGGCTTGCTGCGAAAACAGCTGGGGCGAGTATGGGAGCTGTGACGACATGCCGGGAATGGAGCTGGCCAAAACCATGACAGTTTGGCCGGTGAGTGTCCGGGCCGTGATGTACTGTGGTTGCGGTTGTTGCTGAGGCTGGTACATGAGCATGTGCGGGTGAAAGTTAGGGTTGGGTGCAAACGCGGGACTCGGGACGCTAAACTGTCCGAGCGGATAGTTGGCGAAAGTCGGGTTGAACACGGACGAAGCTGCATTCACAACTGGGCCGGTCGGCGGCAAAAACGGCGCCGTGTGCGACGGCACTGACTGAGATGGCAAGGACGGGGCTGGAAATTTGGTGGAGGCAGCCGGCTGGTCGGCGAGACTCCCGCTCGCTGGCAGTAGTAGTGCTTGGTGAGCTGCGGGCGACGTTGGATTTGGCGTTGCGGCCACCGGGGAGATCACTCCGGACGAGTTTGGGGTCGCCATTGCCAGACGCTTGTTGCTAGCGCTGGACGTGGAGGATGAGTGCGAATCGCTGTCATCCGAGCGCCGTCGGCGGGACGACAGTCGCTGTTCGCTTTGTGATTGTTGAAGCTGTTGTTGTTGTTGTTGGTGTTGTTGTTGTTGTTGTTGTTGTTGCTGCTGCTGCTGCGAAAGGTCTTGCTGAGGAGAATCTTGCGGCTTTGGCTGAGACACAGCTTTGGTCGCCTTGACTTTGGGGCCTCCGGTTAAATGGAACTGGGTTTTCACCTTGCAGAGAGAGGGCATGTACCAATGCCTGGACAGCCCTGCAGCACCCTCGGTGGCCACTGCCGACGCTGTCGCTGCAGCCTGAGCGGAGGTCGGAGCAGCTGGCAGCGCGGGAGAGGGAGGCGTGGGCGGCCCGCCGTGCTTTGCAGTGTCTGATTTGGCTTCTACTGCAGCGGCACCAGATGCTGCCGCGCCGGCGGGGGTGGTCTCCGACGAATCAATGCGGAAGATGGATGTGGACGAGGGCGGAAACGGGGTGTCGTACGACCTCGGGACTTCGTGGAACGGAATGCCCATTTGACGCGCAACCTCTCGGGCAGACGCGCGCTGCGACGATGGCAATCGGTGGTTGCTGTTTTTGCGACCTGCTGAGCGATTGGGTCGCTGGTGGTGAGCCTGTTGTGGTTGTTGTTGTTGTGGTTGGTATTGCTGTTGCCGCATTTGCTGCTGGTCATAGGTGCTTTCCACTGAAGCGGAGGAATTGGGTGGCGATGCATGCGTCTTGAACTCGTGGGAGGCCATCTCGGGCGACGCACACGAATCTGCTGGCGACGGCGGTATGTGCGGTTGCACGGGTGCTTGCGCTACGCACTTGGTTTGAGGGACTGCGGTTTGTGCCACAGCTGCCGCATAGGCAGCAGCAGCAATGTCACCAGTGCCGGCGGGAGTACGAGGCTCGTCCGGCGATAGCTGCCCGGTGAAGTGCAGCGTGGTCGGTGCGGCGAGTGTGTTGTTCAAGTGTTGTGGGTTGATGCCTTCCAGCGCCATTCAACAGGTGTTTTCCCAACTGCACAAACAGGGATATCCACGGGCGGGGGAACAAAAAGCGCAAATGTGCAGACTCGGAATGAAGCTTGCAGGATGATCACCAGGAAATGAACAAGACAAGTCTGTACGTCAAACAAGCAAATGTTGGTCAACAGAGCAAATAACACAAAAAACAAAACAAAAAACAAAAGCAGTCAACAGCGCGAACAAAAAAGGACATGTGCCAAAGCAGTGTCGCGAGAATTTGTGTAGATGTGCGGTGCGTATTGAGGTATTGGGGTATGGGGATGTGCGTGCTTGTGTGAGAGATGCGTGTTGACTCCAACCGACACAGCGGCAAAGAGACAACAGCCCCACACAATGAATCGCGCGATAACACACCCCCCACACTCAACGATGCTCAACACAACATGCACATATGAGCAACCACATGGATTGCAAACCATGCAATGCAACAGCACCCTATGCTTGGCTTGGCTTTGGGGGGGGGGCTGCTGGGGGTAGCTCGAGCAAATGGGGTGCATGACAACAAAAAGAGAGAAAAGACGTGATGAAGAACAACTTGAAAAATCGCGAGAAAACTTCAGCCAATGGCTTTGCTTCATCCACTATGCGCAGCGCTCGTCTCCAAGCGGTTGCGATAGAGCGGCATTCTGAGCTTGAATGATCTGTGAGCCATGCATGCATGCATTCGTGGGCTTCCTCACCCACGTCGCGCGCTGAAGCGTTTGGACGGCGCAGTGCGGATGCAGGTTTTTTTTTTTTTTTTTTTTTTTTTGTTGCGGGTTTTTCGTTGACACGTTGGACCATCCCCATCTCCCCCTCCCCTTGTGGTCACTGGTGTCGAGATTGCGGTCGGTGGACCTGAATGCATGTAGGCTGGGCATCAGGTTTTCGTTGTTCGAGCAAGTGCGAGAGAGGTGCCAAACCTTGCTGTGTGGCCAATACGCTGCCAACGGAAACGTGAAAAGGAACAAAAAGAAATAAAAAGAAAAAAAAAAAAAATAGCTGCGCTCAATCAAGTGATTTTTGAACTGAGCATCCACAAGGAAAAAAAAGAGCGAGGAAGAAGAACGGGAAAAAGGGAGCAAAGAAGCAAAACAATAAAAGAACAAAGCAGAGATGTCAAAAACAATTTGAAATCCAAAGATCTGGAAAAAAAACAGTGCCAACAAAGAGAACAAAAATGTCCCAACATGCCAGTGACGCCCCTCTTCAAGCCCACACATTCAACCGAACGCTCCCCAGCCCTAGAGTGCTGCACACGTCTGTGGAGCTCCCGCCGTCGACGTTTCGAGCATGACGCGTGTGATGGATGTGCAGGCGGAAGGAGGGGACACCGACACGTACCGAGTGTTGCTGATCGGAAAATAAAAAAGCCGAAAGAGTCGAAGCTCGATATTTTTTTTTTTTTCGTTTCTGTCGCCCAAAACAACCAACAACACGCCACAAAAGCAAAAGTTAGCAAGCACCGCATCAAGCACAAAGCAAAGCAAAGAGTGAACAAAACACCCTCCAAGACCGCCTCCATGCATGCTTGTACCCCGCCCTCCCCCCGAGACACGGCCGAGGCAAAAGAGAAGCAAAGACAGGAAAAAAAAAAGGGGCGAAGGGAGGAGGGGGATGCGGCCGTCGGCGTGTGTTTCGCCTAGAAAGGCATCAATTAACAAAACCGGGACGCAAAAAAACAAGAAAAAAAAAAGTGGGACAAACTATCGTTGACGATGACTCTTCTTGGGGAACACGTCTCTCACGCAGGGCGGCGGCAGCCACACGCAAAGCACGACAGTGCGCTGCTGGTGCAGGTGCGAGGCTGCGCAGCACCGGCGGAAAGAGGAGGAGGGGGAGAGAATGAGGGGAAAAAAAAGCGCTGCACCACCACAAAGTCCGATTTTTTTGTTGGATGCAATATTTTGAACCCAGGCCGTTTCTTATCGTTGCGATGGGAGAAGGGAATGAAGCGTGGAGCGCCTGCACCTGTATGAAAGAGAGCCAGAGTGTATGTGCAACGTGTGTATGTGTGTGTGTGTGCGGGAGTTTGTGGGAAGCGCACCAAACACACTCAAGAACAGTCAAGAAACTTGAAAAAAAAAAAAAAAAAGAATGACAAGAAACAACACAGTCGGATGATCTGGTCGATTTTTGTATTTCGGTTTTTATTTTGGGTTTGTCCCGCATTTGCCGCTCCTGTCTCTTTGGCTCTTTCTGCGCTTTCTGCCTCGACCCGTTCCCCGCTGCAACGACGACGGACGCAGACGATGACGACGTGCATGCAGCTGCGGGATTGAGTGCGTCGAACAGGGAGCAGGGGAGTGGTGGTGGTTCAGGCAGTGCGACTCATCGTCAACATGCACAAAACCAAACTTGAATAAAAACAAAAAACGAAAAAAAAAATCAAAAAAAAAAATCAACCGCTTGATTGCTGGAGCCGCTTTTTTTTTTTTTTTTTTTTTTTTTTTGTCTTTTTGTCCTTTTTTCTTTTTTCTTTTTTGTCATCTTTTTATTTAGATTCGGACACACGCTCAGCCGCGCAACCTCGTTCTCCCGTTCAAGCGAAAGAAGCTGCAGCCGACACGACGCAAAGAAAAGGTCCTCCACCGCCACTTCACTACCCCCCCGTTGCCGGTGCGTGCATCTCCCCCCCCCTCCCCGCATGGACAGAAAGAGAAATCGGCGCTATCCGTGGCTGGAGCAAACGCTGGACTTTTTTGTAATATTTTTTTTTTTTTGTTTTTGGTCGATTCAAGGCAAGTGTCGGCAAACACGCTCGGTTGCCGCTGCACAGACACAGACACGGCTGTAGCGAGATGGAGAGGGGAGCGAGATCGATGTAGCGAGGCTTTGAGGGGGGGGGCAGACAGGTGTTGTTGACTTACAAGGACTCAAGTGTGTGACAAAGAAGGAACGACAAAGGCAAAAAGTCGGACACGGGAACACAACAAACGATCGCTGAACAAAACAGAAAACAACAAAAGAGGGAATGGTGGGCAGGATAGAAAACGGAGGTACAGTTGATGATGCTGGTGAACAAAGAAAGACAGGTCCAGATGATGCAAAAAGGAAGACTGCCGATTGATTGCGACAAATATAGCGGCGAGACAGAGAAAAGAACTACTTTGTGAGGTGTTTCAATTCCCTCGCCTCCTCCTTCTCCAATCCTCCTCCGTGAATGGCTTTCTCGAAGAGTACACGAGTCAGTTTGTGTTACTACTTTTGTTTGGCCGCCTCAAGGTCGATGCTTGTGGAAGCAAAGAAGAAGTACGAATAAAACAATTAATGCGAAATTTCAAAAATCAAAATAACAAAATCGAACAAACGTGTTTCGATTTGCGGTTGTCGTTGAAATGCACGTCTCCGTTTCGACGTTTCGCCATGGAAATCACAGCATGAAGGCAAAAAGCTATACACGTCAGTGCTCGCTTTGAAAGAGGGAGGGAGGGAGGGAGGGAGGGTTGAATGTCAGCGTCGCAACTGAATCACGGAAAATGTGATTGAAGCACTCACACCAAGCCTGTCTCAAGTAGAGGTCTGTTACTTGGAGTAATTAGTCTCTATATCTGGTTTTGTGTTTCTCCTCAAAAGACAAACTGGACGATAGCGGTTGGCAACAAAATATGAGCAACAAACATGTAGTTCCGCTGATTTTCATGATTGACGCAGAAAAGCTTCATCATGCGGGGCCTGGCATCGCATCTCTTATCTCGGAGGTTACCGGCTGTTGAAAGCCCACGGAGAGGTTCTTTCTGATCTAATGTTTTGTTCGGGGGAATGGATGAAGCAAGACAAGAAGAAAAAACAAAAACCCCCAAAAAAAGCTCCGCACCGAACCACCTCCATCGCATCGCCGAAACAACCAAACTCGCCGCGCCACGCGACCAGAATATCGCGGACCAGCGAAGCAATGGTGCACACACAGCTGCTCCAAGAGCTATCCTCAAAGGTACATACCGGAAGCAACAGCTCAGCAATGGTGACGGCTGGAGGGGGGAAACAAGCAGCGAAAACGTCGAAATTAACCGAAACCGTATGACTCAGGAGGGGGCTCGATTCGCTCGCTTGCGATTGCTGATGGCAGATCGCTTGGCATTGCAGATTGGGATTCTTGCGTGTGTGCGTCATTGACAACGCCGCCAAAACGAGCTGTCCGACATGAACGGCAAAAACAGCAAATCTCGCACTGTCACCAAGAATTAACGGTTGGAAGCCGAAAACATGCCGACGTCCACTTAAAACAAAATAAACAACAAACAGAAAGCCTTTCATGACACATGGAAGTGGAAATGTTTATAATTTTAAATGAAAGCGTAATGGTATGATGAATTTGTGAGAGGGGGCGGGGGTTGTCATGGACTCACGGTCTCACAATCACTGAGCAGAGGCCGTGTCAACCAACACGGCAGCAGCGGTAAGTGCACTAAAGGCCATGGGTGCCTGTAAAAGTGAAAACAAAAGCAGCCAGCACAAGAGTTGAGTTGATGAATTTCCTTCCCTTCAGAAAATGCCAAAAGACAAACTCCCGCTCACAGCCAGCACACACACAAAACAAGAAAACCACCTGACACTCACCTCTGACAGCCTGGACGGATAGCTCGGATTCTCGGCTTCGGTCGCGGAGGCTGCTTGGCACTCCTGGTTGAGCTTGTCGGCCAGCTGCTCGGGCGCGACTGCCGCCTCACTCGCCTGGTACGGAATCGGACCGCTGCCATTGTTCGATCGCAGCAGCGCTTCGTCCGAGTCCCGCCGAGAGGCTGCATCCGACTGAGCGAGCGCGTGCAGGGACGAGTCGACAGTGCTGCTCGTGTTGGACACGACAGACGCAACGTCGTCCATGGCCGAGTTGTCGGCAGAGGCATACTCATCGTCGCCGGCGTCAAAGTCCGTGTCGCTGCCATCGCTGCGATCGGTAATCGAAGGTGCGTCGGAATTGCCGTTGCCCACGCTGTTGCTGGCGTGCGAACGTCGGACGGCGAGAAACTTTTTACCAGCAGTGGAGCCGCCTTGCTGGCGCGCCTTGCGCCATTTGTAAAAGCGAAAGTTGCACGCCACACAAAGCTGAATGACGTGCGTCCGATCGGGGTGCAGAGCTTTTTCGTCTGTAACGTTGGCCGAGCGCATCGTCAGGAGCACAAACTCCTCGGCAAGCTCGCGCAGGGCAGAGTATCGCGTGATGGCAAACTTGCGCTTTTGCTCGGCACAGTACATTTCGCACACAAAGCAAAAGCCGTGACCCGACCCGGCTCGTCCGGCATCGCTGTCGCGTGGCAGATTGCCGCGTCGCGCCGGCTGTGCCGGGGCGGAAACCAGAGGCAGCTCGGCAAATTGGAGGTTGCCACTGCCACCAGCGGCAGCCGCATGAGCATTCCCGCTGCTGCTGCTGGTGCTCTCCAGCCTGACGCGTTGGCGCGGTGCCTTCACTTCAGCATCCTCGGCGTCGTTGACTTCGCTGTGGTGGCGCGGCCGTCGACCGGAAGGAACGCCATCCGTGGAGGCGGACGGCATGCGCGATCGCAAATTGTTTTCGGCAAACATGCGCGTGATTGAAAGCGCCGGAGAGACTGTTTGTACGTCTTGGTGGATAAAGGTTTGCACAAGCGGCTGCGGTTGCATCGGAGGTTGCTCAGGTTGTTGAACAGGCTGAGTCTGGTAAGGCCCAGGGGTGAAGAAAGCTTGTGGGTGCATTCCATGAGGTTGAGGTGGCTGCTGGGAGTACTGCACAAATCCAGATGTATGCTGCTGGTGTTGTTGTTGTAGTTGTTGTTGTTGTTGGTGAGGTTGAAGAGGCTGTGGCTGCAGTTGCTGTGGCGGAAGCTGCTGTATCTGGTTTGACTGTTGTTGTTGCTGGTGTTGATACAGGTGTTGGGGCTGTTGGTGAACCATTTGAATGACCTGCTGTTGGTGCGGCTGCGGGTAGGGTTGCATTGGCTGCTGGGGAACAACCCAGGCTCCAAGCTGCGCGGGCAGCTGCTGGTAGGCCGCGTTCGGGTGTTGGTCGACCGCTTGCACGAACTGGCGGCCATCTACTGCAGGCCGGACCATGGAGACTGCTGCGCCAACAGGTGGAGTTGAAGGCTGCGACGGTTGCAACAATATTATCGGTTGCTGCTGCTGCTGCTGCTGGTGGTTCTGCTGCTGCGGTGCCATGGCGAATTGCTGGGGATGTAGATGCTGCATGACTGAAACCGGTTGCTGCTGCTGTTGCTGGTGTAGTAGAAGTAGTTGTTGTTGTTGTTGTGGTTGCAGGTGTTGTGGTTGTTGTTGTTGTTGTAGTTGCTGTGGCTGTTGCATCGGTGGTTGCTGTGCTAGTTGTTGAGGTTGTTGTTGAGGTTGTTGTTGCTGTTGTTGCTGTTGTTGTTGCTGTTGTTGTTGCATTGTGATGGTCATGTAGGGAGGCAATTGCTGCGCTCGGTGACCCTGGTGGACGGCAACGAACTGCGATGCCGATCCAGGATTCGGCACGAACGTAGACACATAGCTTGGTCCGCCCTGTGTCACTGCCATGTAGGTGTACTGCGGCTGCTGCAGCTGCAGCTGCTGCTGCTCGTTGGTCGGCATTGGGCCGGAAAAGGGAGTTGGCGCCAGTGTGGGCCCGACATTGTAAATCACGTACGAGCCATTTGCGGCCTGAGTAGTAGCAACTGTGCCAGGTGCAGCTTGTGCAACGGGATGAAAGCCCGGACGAGGAAACTGGGCCATTCCTTGTTGCTCTCGAGCAGATGGCGGTTGTTGGATCTGCTGAAACACCTGTTGTGGCGGCGGTTGCATTGTATGTTGAGGAGGTTGCTGCTGCTGTTGCTGCATTGGGAGGGGGATTTGCGATGTCTGAAACGGTTGATGAGGATTCTGCTGTTGTTGCTGCTGCTGAAGAAGCAGATGCGGATGATTGGGATGGTGAAAAGTGCTCGAATTGCTCATGACTCCAGGCGAGGACGAACCGCTGCCCCCACTGCCTACCACCTGCGAAAATGCCTGGTACTGTGCCTGTGGAGGTAACTGCACATATCCGGGCTGCGGCTGGAGGGTCTGCGGTTGCACTGGCTGTTGTGTGAGCAATAATTGCGGTGGGGGCGGCTGCTGCAAGTCGTGGGACGTATTTGGCGGATAGGGCTGTAATCGCTGCTGTTGCTGCTGCTGATGTTGGTGCTGCTGTTGGTGCTGCTGTTGCTGCTGGTTTTGCATGGACGACGACGACGATGACGACGTAGGATGACCTGCGAACGGATGTGCGAACAGCGGGGTCGTTAGTTGCGTGGGATGTTGTTGACTGATCGCCTCGCCGTTCGATTGGGTGCCATGCTCGGCACCGCCACCCTGCTGCTGCTGCTGCTGGTGCTGCTGCTGCGGATGCTGATGGGAGGTCTGCGCAGACGCGGATGCATCCTGCGGTTGACTGGCGGCGGAGAAGCCGACGTCCTCTCCATTCGTCGAATAAAGCCCGTCCGTTGTTGTTGTTGTTGTTGTTGTTGATGGATTCATTTTTGTAGATCCCGCTCTTGCTCGTGTCCAAAGGGGCCCCCTCCTCAATGGGTGTGTGTCGTGGTGTTCTCCCCCTCTTGAATCGAGCCAAACAGACCAGAGATCGGGGACGCTGGGTGCTGTGCAACCACAAGTTCACAAGAGTGAGCTTCACACAAAAAAACAAACATCAAGCCCTTTTTGCATCGTTTGTTTCTTTTTCTCCTCTTTGTCCTTCTCTTTCCTCCCCTGCCCCCTCTTCGCCGCACGCAAGAGCAGGAACAAAACCACGAAGGGGGGGGGGCAAGTTCTCATTTGCTCCGCTCACGCCCTCGTTCCCCGTCTTCGAGGCCATGCCGTGGGATTGCGCACATCGGAAAAGCACACTGAACGAGAATTCGTCCTCGCACTGACCTTGTCGCCTTGTGACCTCGAGACCTGCCTTGTTGGAGGGTCTTGGGTCGCAGTGGAAGGAAGAGCAATACGCACAAGCGCAAAAAACAAAAGAAACGAAAAAAAAGGCGTAGCAGGGAGAGAACAGGGACTGAGACGGGACAGATCGGGAAGGACGAGATCAAACTGAACGCAGTGAACAAACGCAAACGAAAATGAAACAAACAAAACAATTGGTGAGCCCAATGAGGACACTTTCTTAGACTGGAGCCAACTCTGCCTCAATGCCAGACGAGAGAAAACGGAAAGGGAGAGTAAATTTGTCAACATGTGGAGTCGCGAGAGGAGGCCGGACGAAGGTGCGCGCGCGGAGGGGCGGGGGAGGAAGAAACGGGGGCAGTGGAAGGAAACGGGTCATCAGATGGTGTCGGGCAGGCGAGCATGAATCTGCGTCACACGACTCCGCAACATGCATCGCGTTCGTCCATGTTCGCGGGGTTTAGTGTCACTGTTCTTGTTTTTTTGTTCGGACAGTGTCGTTCATCGTCTCTGGATGGCTTGGGTGTTGGGAAACACCTGTTCGTTCGGACAATCCGCAAGATCCACCAAACCCTCCGACCCTCCGACCCTCCGACCCTCTTCTTGCTTGCTTGTTCCTTTGAGGCTGTGACGTGCACACCACACGTCATCATGAAAAGAAGCCCCTCTGCCAAAAGTTGGATTCCTGCCATTCGCCGACATTCCCTCGGCTTTCTCGGCATTGCTATTGTTTGTTTGGTTGTTTGTTTGTGCGTGATGGTTTTTTTTTTTTTTTTTTTTTTGGAAAGATAGCAAAAGAACAAAAATTGTGCGGTCACCAAGGATGCGGCTTGCGTGGCGATGGTCGCTCGCGTTCGCCGCAAAACAAAGTGGACCTTTTTTTTGTTTTACAGTACTCTCATCAAAGAACACGGGCGACACAGAGCGGGACATAAAATTGGCTTTGGTGGAGTCATTGCGGGTTTGTCACAAAACCGAACACATGCGCACTTTGCCGGTTTGCCGAACCCCACCAAGTGCACCAAACCCAGCGCATGTCGAGGATATACATGCTGTTTGGGGCCCCCTCCACTGTCGCTCACCCATCAAGCGAAAGGGATGCGTAGTGATCCGCCCTTCCGACCCTCTTTTCGGGGGTATGGCGCCAACCATTTGTCTCAAGAAACCCCTCCAGCAAGTTTCGCGTCGCCACTTTCGCGTGCACAACGCTGGAGCTGACAGAGGACTCGTGCAGCACGAAATGAACTGCCCCAAACCCACAACAGCGGATACATGGGGGGCGCAGTCGACGCGCACACGAGCAGCCGAAAAAACAAAAGAAAAAAAAGGCGGGGGCGCGTGAGAGATCGAGCTCACAAACACGGAAAGCAAAGCAGCAGACAGATGCTTCAAGCAAATGCCACGCAAGACGAATGACTGTCTCGAGAAGAATGTCAAAGCAGCAAAGTGTGGATGTGGTGGACTGAATGGAGGTGCACGAGGAGGGATAAAGCCGCAAAAACGTTTGCAAGCGGGACGCGGGTGAGAATGTTGTCACACGCCACACCAAACGATTGGTCCATCGAGTGGTCGAGTGTTGTTTTTGTCGCTGCGGCGTACAATTCAACATGCGGTCTCGCTCACTCATACATGGAAAGAGATGGAGAGATGGAGAGAGAGAGGGAAGGAAGGAGGGAAGGAAGGAGGGGAGCGAGGACGAGCGGGACGAGCAGACCCAAAAAACAAACAAAACAAAAAACATGAAAAACATGAAAAACCAAAAAAAAAAAAAAAAAAACAGCAAAAAACAGCCCATTCGAAATACGTTCCAAGGCAGCTGACATGCACCATTCGACTGAACGCCCTTGTAAATATTGAAGAAAGGTGTTTGAGAAGGGGAACAAGCAGCACGAGAGCGAGCGAGCGACCGAGTGACCGAGACCAACAGGGCGAATACACCAGAAACGCACATTTGACTTGTTTTGTCAAACTGGTTTGTTTTTCTCGTTTTTCTCGGGTTTGTCCATTCCAAGCCACCCCAGCAACGCCCCCCCCCCAACGTACCCCACCGCCCGACGCCCCTTCCTCGACATTCACTCTCACCAACGCGCACCAGCTGGTGTGGCTGAAGCGTCGCTGCGCTGCGCTGACGAAGGAAAACAGCCGAGTGAGAAAAGAGACAGATGGCAACCAACAGTAAACAGCGCGAGATCGAACGAGTTTGCGCCGGCATGTGCAGCCCCTTCCCGTCGACCAACGCCAGCACCACCAAGGTGGTAAGGAAAGTGGCTTCGTGGGTACAAGCACCACGGGGCATGGCAGCGTCGGGTGAAGCAGCAGAAGGGGAGGGGGAAGCCGAGAAGGAAGGCACGGCAAGGTGCTAGATAGAGAAACGTCACCAGACCAATCCTGACTCACTCGCCCGCAGAAACGCAAAGAGCTGGCGCGGGGAGAGGGAAGCAGAGCAGCAAAAACCATCCCCCGTACGACCACCAGACAAGGGGAGCGACGGACGAGGAGAAGTGCAAAGGGAGAAGCAATGCACGCGCCGGCAATCCCGCGTTCGTCTCACGATACAGCAAACAAAAGAAAGAAAGAAAGAAAGAAAAAAAAAAAAAAAGTCGCGTTGTTTTTGAATCGCGACAAATCGTGCGCAGTGCCCCGGCGAGAGCGGGAGGATCAGGTCAAGTCGACCAAGAGTCAAGAAGGGGGCGTGAGAATGGTGTCAGCCGCATCAACGGGTGGCACGCTCGATTGGGAAGTGCGGTTTGGGGAAGGCAGCAGCAGTTCCAACTCACACCGTAAAAAGAAAGAAAAAAAAATACTAGAATGGCACAAAAAAGTCCAAACCAAGATCTAGCCATCTTTCGAGAGACCGAGGGTGGGGGAAGAGCTGCTGATAAATACAGACACTCACACATACACACAAAAGCAAGAAGCAAAGAATCCCACGACCAAGGGGGAAAAGCAGAAGCACTATGAAAGCGATGAAAAACACAATCATAAAACCATCAGGGAGACAAAAAAAGCAACCAAAAAGGATCCGACTGGGAAACCAGTTGGGTGGTGCGGAGGGGTTTTTTTTTCTGCGGTTGGTTGTCGTGGTGAGGACATGAGGACGAGCGGTGGTGGTGGTGGCGGGCAGAAGCAAGCGATGGACAAACGCGAGCGAGTGCGATGATGGAACTCTGCACTTGACTCTTGTACTCACACGACCGACCACAAGAGCGAATGGGATTGCGAAAACAACACAAGCCCAAATACAAAACAAAAGCTGACACTTCCTTTTTTTTTTTTTTTGTCGTTTTTTTGTTTGTTTTTATCTCGCGCCTCATGGCTCGTCCCCCACTCTCAGCTGTCGTTAATTCTCGCCAACAACCGGGATAAACAACACGATGAAGAGGCAACACCGCAAACTAGAAGGGTCCCGAATTCGCCAATGATAACGGACGATGCAAACAAGAAAAGTAAACAAGCCGATATTGCAAAAGCAGTCACTCTTTGCTTTGTCGCGTGGTTGCAGCTGCCGTCACCACTTTGCTCGAGGATTGTGGCGGAGCGAGTACCGCTAGGCCATCCTACGTCAGTTCAGGAGCTGATGGGGTTGTCGAAAAGCACAGAATCGGGTACCCCGTCGAATAAATAAACGAAAGATAGTTTTCTCACTCTTCTTCACCATGCGCGTAACAACATGCGCGCTCCGACTCGTAGAAGCGAATGTTCAGGCAGATGAGCAACAGTGTATTGCCTACGTCTGTGATATGCACAGGTGGTGCCCTCACATGCACCCAAAAAGGCAAAACCGAGGAGGCGAAAGCAACAGCTGCTCTTCTTCTCGCTCTCGTTCCTCCACCCCCATCTCATTCACCGATGTGTAAAAGGGGCTGGTGGCGGCGAGTAGCTGAGCGAATGCATCGTCTACCTCATGGTCGGGTGCATGCTGTGGGCTGATTGCGCCTTCGCCGTTCGACTAGAACGAGCAATCTAAACTCGCGCCCCGAACTGCGTAGATCTTCGTTGCTTCTGAGCGAGTGTACCCATCCACTCTCTCTGCTCTGATGTAAGAGTGGTTGTCAAGTGCAGAACGGGCAATGTAGGGGGGCGACAGATAAGTAGAGGCGGGGCGGAGGGCGAACGACTGTCGTGCGAAGTGGACAAAGTGAATCTGGTGGATCTGGTACTCACAAAGTAAAAAGGAACTGAACTCGAGTCTTTTGGACAACCAACTTCATGCCCAACACAAAAGCAAACGCACTCAAGAAACCCCTAGGGCCAGAACGAGAGTCAAAACCCCCAAACCGCTCAGGGCTGCATCGTGGACGCCTGGTGTTGCGCAACCTGCTGCTCGTAGGCGCGTTGCCGTGCCTGCGCATCCGCCTCAGCTTGCTGCCGATGTGCTTGCCAGAACGTTTTGATTTGCTCGTGACCCTCAAAGGTCACCACAATGTGCTGGCTCGAGTGCGCCAACTCCACTCCAAGATCACGTCCATAGTGATGCAACAGGTCGTGTTCCCGCTGGTTTGAGAAGCGCTCGTATAGCACAGCTAAAGCGTGTGGGCGAGCAAGAAGGCGGAAGGGAGTAAGCGCTGGGTTGGTTGTGACAGTTTCGGAAAAAGCATTTGGTTGCCACAGTTCTCCCGGTCTTACCTGGAAGAACGCGAAGTCGATTACGCTCCAATTCCCACAACCGAAGCTGATCGCTAATGGTCTCAGGTAGTACAGGCGTCTGTCGAAAGGCAAAGCGTGTTGCAGCAGAACAAGGTCAGGCGCACGAAACCACCGTGAAACGCAAACGGGGGGGGGTATTCAACTCACTCGGCTGCGCATTTGAGGATGAGCATGAGTCCGCAAGAATCGAATCATCTGTCAAGAATGAGATGAGCATCATCAGATGAATGACGAACGAGAGAAAGCGGGCGGACATTTTGTTCTCCTCCATCACAAACGCGCGCGGCACAAACCTGCTCGGCTGTCAGACCCTTGACCAAGGCCTTTCGAACACTATCTCTCGACAAAAGCCCGCAAACCATGTTTGGAAATCGGTAGCGCAAATCCACAAACAGACTCAGCAAAGCCAGCTGCAATGGCGAATCTGAAGAGTCGGTCACGGTGAGACAAAACAGCGCCACAAACAACTATCAACAAAAGAAAGGCAGTATCTCACCAGTGTATGCGTATATCCGAAAATTGGTCTCAACAACAATGTATCCCTTGACATCTGCAGCATCCAAATTCTTGGCAGAACCGGATGCAAGATTGATCGCGAGTGGAGTGGGGTAGAAGCGCCTGGATGTACGCTGAGAAGGTCGATCGGGATGAGTGGAGCAGAGCGTAAGGCAAGCATGACAAAATAAATTCAAAAACCAATGAAAACCAACTCGCCAAACCAACATACCTTTCTTCGAAAAACAAGACCAATTTCACGCAAATGCTGCAGCAAGTCCAACTGGCCCTCCGTCAGGCCTTCTACAGGATAGTCCTGTCCAAAATTCGCGGCCAGTCAGTGCTGTTGATGGATACACGACCAGGACGAGTGGGTAGACATACCATGCCAACCGTGGAAAAGCTCAGTCGAAAGAGCAACGCCAGGGCTTCGACGGGATCTGCCCCGCGTTTCTGTTTGTTGGGACGCAAGTGCGCAGACATTGAGCAAACCTCGCTCGACTCCACAACATCCCACAGCCACAATAATATACCGCACCTGTAATGAGTTGAGATATTGAGTCAAAAAGTACCACACTTGGGTCGCCACGTCTTGGAGCAGAAATTGAAAGCCCTTGTTTGTAATCACGGGTCGACCAGCGCCCTCGCCAGTGGTGGATCTGCTTGCAACAAGCGGGAGTGAACTACGATCAACGACGAATCTTCAATGGACAACCCCCCGGCCCCGCCAACTCAAACTCACAAGGAAATCAATTCGGCATCAATTAATACGTTGACCACCTCCTGCGTAACGCCCTCAGTGTTGGCAGCAGCCATGAATTGCAACACGGCCTGAAACGTACAAAAAAAAATCGAATGAAAATGAAAAAAAAAAAAAAAAAAGTCAGCCATTGACCAGCAGTCAGCCATTGACCAGCATCAAGAGGGGCACAGACAGAGATTGTTCTCGTACCTCCCAACGCGCACGACTGTACTGTTCGAGCTCTGAAATATCTTTGGCATGCGCGTCTGGCTCAAGGGGGTCTGCTCCGGCCCACGATTTTCCACTGCCCCCAAACAAACAACCAAAACAAACCGAACGAAAAACCGTGAGGGCGCGTCGTCATTGCACTAACGCAGTGTTTTCGAAACAACAAGAATCTGCTCCCGTACCCGCCGCTCAACGCGGTTCGGAGTCCAACTCGGAATGAAGGGCTCAACAGCCAATGCGTGTCATTTGCGACAGCAATTCGCAGTGCCTTGAGCCGCTCCAACGCCTCGAGATGTGCTCTGCAAGATACAAGATGAACACACAACAATGCAAATTCAAACAAAAATCAACAATGTCAGAATACAAAGTTCCGTCGTTTCTGAGC